TAAACCATGATGGTGAACAATCTTTGTTTTCAGTTCATTTGAAAGTTGTTTTGAGACTCCCATGCAGCGACTCTTCAGAGAAGATGCAAAGAGGAGAAAAAATTACAATTGCCCCCCTTAAATACCCTTTCTCAAAATTGGAGTCACCTGTGCATGGAGGTCAAGGGTCACTGAACTTACCAAACCAAATCTGATCAAACCTAATTTTGTTTTACCAATTATTGCACATGTTCTGTAAATCACATAAACTTCATTTCACTTCTCAAATATCACAGTTTGTCCCCTATTTGATATATTTAACTGATTTTTTAAATCCAATCAATGATTCAATCAGATCAGGAAAATTAATAAGGCTGCCCAAACTTTCACACCCCACTGTATATTAAAACTACAAAATGAGATATTTTGTGCAAAAATAACTTAACAGTGAATTCAAGAGGGAGAACGCCTGAAGTGGAGCACTTAAAACTGCTTAATGTTTTAATGGTGCATGTGAACAGTGTTTCTCTAAACTTTCCACTGCAGTCCGTTTGGCAGTATTCAAACAGAAATATATTTCTGCTGGAAGTGCTACAGCTGGCTGCTGCTGCTATTTGTGCTTGCAAACACAACAAATTCAATGTAAAATGATGAGTAATATGAGCTGATGGTATAAATGTTTATAGAATTTTGTTTGCATGAACCACTAAAAACAAAGAATGGAAATGCATCAGACCAGTCGACAGCTCCTCAGTGCAGTGTTAATACTGTTTAGTCCTCCAACCTGAGGTTATTTCAAAGAGCTGTAAGTAGCCAGTAAGGTATTAATTTTTAATTTTTCCACAGAATCCCACTTCAAAAATATCTGAACTCCCCTTTAAAGCATTAGAACCAGTTTTAAGAACAATGAGTAAATGTAGACACAATTTAATAACTTCAGTCTGGTCTTAAATGTAAGATAAAGATGACTTTGAGAACAATGGTGATCAAAAGATTGCAGCTTCATTTAGTGACACTAAATCAACACTGGTCTGGGAGATCAGATGGGGGGTTGGGTTGGTTTGATAACCACAAAATGATTTTAACAGCTATTTTTTATTAAAACTGGTCTAAAACTTTTAATGGTGCACACCTGTATTTATAACATAATGAGAAAATAAGATTTGGTTTAGTAAAGATGGGTTTTTTATTGTATTTAGTCATCCTTCATAGAAGGTGACCTATGACCTGTGATCAAAGGTTTTCCATAGAGTTCCAATGTGGGCACAACTCCTACATTGGTTTAAAGGCACCTGGTATTCCCAGGCAGTCTCACATCCAAATATGCTCAAAATATATATTTTTTATTGCCTTAATATTCCTCAGACGGACTGCAAATCCTCGTCAATTGATGACAATGTTACCACTTAAGAAAATCAACAAAACCTTTGCTTTTGTCCTGATTGAGCCTGATTTTAAATCCCATTACTGAGTGTTTTCATTCACTGCAGCTCCTGTACAAATGAAAAGTGAAGGTAGATGAAGGTCGAGACCAGGTAAAAGTTTGGAACCATTTTCTGCTCATTAGAATTATAAAATGCAATCCTGCCCTCACAAAGACGTCAACAAATTCACACAACACAAACTGCCATAACACTTTATTTTCATGGTTGCTTTTACACTTCAATTTGCTTTTATAATATTATGTACATTAAACTTGCTCCCAGGGTAAAAGAAAATGTTCAGTGCAGAAGAAAGAAAAGATAAGGCGAAAATAAAAAAAAGCAAAAAAAGTCTTTAAAAAACAAATATATTGATCATAAAGAATTGAAATCGACATCTATAGACTATTACCAGCAACTTACAGCACTACACAAAAGTCTTCTCTTTAATATTTTCATTTCAACACAAACTGTTATTATATTTATTATGTTGTGCTGCATTGTGTTGAAAAAACAGGACAAATAAAAATGTGCAGAAACCTGAAAGCACAAACACATCTGGACCACCAACAGCCTCGTCAGAAATTATCTTAAGGCCCCGTCACACTAGACAACTTATGAAACATTTTTAATGTCTAAATTGCTAATGAAAATGATACATTTGATCAATTTGTTAGAATTACACTATGTACACACCGAAAACAAGCTTCCTTTTGTTTTTTTCCAATTCCATCTTCATTGTAGACGTCTTTAAAATGTTCATAAGTTGGCATAAGTTGTCTAGTGTGACAGGGCCTTTTAGTAAAAACAAGATCTGCTAAATCGCCCACAGTCACACGTAAAAAAACTATTTGGTAAAAACAACTGTCAGTATGTTCAGAGGTGGTAAGGAAATGATCTGACAGTGAAAATTAAAGCCATCAGTTTTACACGGTGGAGGACGAATCATGGTTTGCATTTCTGTCACTATTCAATGAAATGATGCAAATAAGAACAAACAAAAACAACTTAAGATCTCAAACCACCATGCATGTGGAAAAGTGCATTGGTATTTATCCTTTTGCTGCCAATTCAGTTGAGTTGAAATGAAATGAAAACCAAAACAACAGTCATGGATTAGCCTCCAGAGTCCAGAGCTCAGCAAGAACCATGGAGACCTATTTAGAGGTTTTCATGTGGATACAAAAGTAATTAACAGTGTGTGAAAAATAGCAGTGGCCACTCTTTCAAACTCATTTAAAAACCCTTTTTGTCTTATTTTCCATCCAGGCTTGTGCAACAAATCATTGCAACTACTTCTCATTTCTACAGCCAAACATAAAGTGAGACTTTTGAACAGTGCTGTATAATAAAATCTTAGGAGGTAGGCTAAGAGGAACTTGAAATGCTTTGTTTGTACAACTAATACAAGGTGCCAGCTGCTGTCAGCAGCGCCCTCTGGTGGGACGGCTGTGAACAGCAAGTCTTTCCCAAAGTGTGCGTCATGACTGGACTTCCACTATGGTACACATATCATACACTCAGTTTGTGAATGCAGAGAAGTTTCTTTGAAATGCTCATTGAAATCACATAATGTCAAATAATCATGATTAAATCAAATGTTTAAAACCGGATCCTTATTATCAGGAATATTTAAGGAACTCAGAGGTTCTTTTCTTTCATAAAACTGCAACATGGCATCAGAACTTTGGGGTTAAAGCAAATTAGGTCTAGATTTGGACATCATTACTATTCGTTAAAACATCGTTAAATAAGGCAACATTAGTTATAAAAAGGTACCACACTGCAATTCACTATGAATTAACACACGTGTTGCACCAACAAAGGAGACGTTTGAGTCTTAAAACAAAAACAAAAAAAAAATCAGGTTTTCTGTTTAGATACTGAAGTTGCAGTCAGTCCAAGGTTATATTTATACACACATACAAGCACTGTGTTTTAAAATACTAAATTAAACTTTTCTGGTTAAATTAAGGTTGGGGGGGCAGCGTTTAGAAAATCTTATGAAGTATATACTTAAAGACTACAGACTGAACTTATTCTAAAATCCAAAATTTGAGAAATGTTTGTAACAATGGAAGAAGGTAAATGTTGCAACCGAGTCACTTTAAAGCAATCATTGACGCACGTGAGAAACAAATTCAAGAAAACAAACCAGCTCCTGTGAACGCTGCTGTTTGCATGTCTTTCTCCACGACGACAAAAACCACCAAGACAAACTCTTTAAAGTCCAAGGACCAGAATTTTTTTTGTTTTACATTTACAGGGCTTTGGTGGAGGGGGTCACAGATCACCTTCGCAATCTTAATTTTTGTCTTAAGATGAGAAATCTGTAAATAGTAATAATAATAAAAAAGGCCAAAATAAAACAAAAACAAATCAAGCTGAGCCCTGCATCCAAGGCTGCAGAAGAGTGAAGACATCACACCGGGACCCCAAACATGGGCGACAGAACACCACTGGGACCACCCAAGAAGAAAGTGGTGACAGCAAGCTTCAATGTGAGCTCATGTGACTGAAATCCTAACAAAGCTGCTCTCGCTCACGTTTGGTTTTGTTGTCGGACAGCAAACTGGCAGAAAAGCACAACATGACGACCATCTGACATGGTTTTTGTTTGTTTTCATTAAAATCTTGATTTGACTAAAGTCATCTAAATAAAGCTGTTGCATCATGGTGTGAACTGACCGGTCCCTGTCCTTCAGCCTGGTGTTAAAACACTTGTTAAAACTGTTTGTATGCATGGAGCTTTAATGCTCGTTGTTGTAGCTGTGGTCAGCAGGGGCGATGATACAAGCAACCTAACTTACACCTATCATATTGTAGTCCAACAATACATTTTACACCCTGCCAAGCCTTGTTCTAAGTGTCAGGACAATGTTCTTCTGATGTTCTAAATTGTACATTTTTCTGGGGGATAAACCCCAGAACCACCTTGGTCGATGGTTAGCCCCCTTTATTTTCTAAAAAGCTTCTTAATCCTAAAACCTTTGAACCCCCTGCTTTACTGTTTTAACAAGTGAAGAGGCTCAGTTGTGATTTACTGATACTAAACATTTGTAGGTTTAGTGACAGAAAAAATGAAAGGTCCTTGGACTTTAAAACTGTCTTGGCAGAAGATGAACTATCTGTTAACTCAAGTGACTCTGACTTACACATATTTTGATGCATGTTAGAGTGCATCTATCGAAATGAATTCTTAGAAATTATTCAGAAAAAGACAAAAACCCAACATCAGTCGAGTTTAGTAAAAACTGAAGATTATTAGAGTTTGAATTTATACTTGAGAAAAAAGGGTCAGATCAGATTTTTTTTCTTCTCTCTGCCGCCTTTCATTTCATTTTTATATTTTATTTTTTATTGTATATAGAATTAATGTTGTTTTTATGGAATAAATAAAAAAAATTTGACAAAAAAACAGAGTTTCCATTAACTGAAAGGAAAGTTTTCAAAATGACATAAGAGTAAGTTTGTACAGATGCATCCATTTGAGCACTAAAATATAAAATGGAGTGCTTCCTGTGAGATCAATCCTGCTGTGTGTGTCGGCCCTGAATGGACGGGTGCCACCCTGCAGCATTATCCAATTCTTTGTTTCTATTTCAGTCATGTAAGCGCTGCTGGGCCCCATCAGGAAAAAAAAAAAAAAAAAAAAAAGAGTTTGATTCCTCAACGGTTTGGATTTACACTTCCTGTGACGGCTAACACATTGGCAAAAACACAAACAACCACTCAAATTATCACCACTGATGTACCAATCAGATCCCTCACATCATCCTGCCAAGGCCACGTCTCTAAGAGTCATTTCAGCCCCTGCACAAACACACAATAAGGCAAATAATCAAGCAAATTGAAGCGCTCAGAGTAAGCAGTTTACCTCCAAGATACATTAGAAAAATAATATTTTTTTACTTCTCAATAATTCACTCTCTAAAACAGAGATAAATTCTTTAAAAAAGGACTGAGAACACCACAGAGATGGTTCTGGTCTTTGCCAGAAACCATGTCTGTGAGAGGGTAACAGTTTAAGGTCTGACTTTACGTGAACAGAGGAAAGGCCTTTTTATTGTCACTAAATAAGAAACACTGTGGGTTACAGAACAGTTCTGGGCCCACTCATGCCGATGGATCAATCACCTTTATATCAACACTAAACCAAAAAGTAAAAAGGAAGTAACATTTTATTTCCTATTGCTTTGACTTAAAATTAATTCTTAAAATGCTTGTGATTTTTATTTTAGTTTTTTCTCTTCTTTACACTCGCTCAGCCATCTGCAGCCCAAACCACCACCTGTATAATCTACCACCTGATACCACCGAGCAGTCCTCCCGTTCAGCCTTAAGCCTCCTCCGGCGCCGTGGGTCTCTTCAGGTCCCGGATCTGCTTGATCAGATAGTTTTTCTCGTCACAGAACTGCTCATCCTCCGACCTGTCTGTTTGGAAGTGGCTCAGGAAGTCCACCAGCTTGGTTTGGTTTTTCAGCAGGATGTCCAGCACAGGCTGGGTCTTGTTGGGGTTTGCAACGAATACCTTCAAAAATACAAAACAGATATTAGTTAATGTTTGACAAGTTTCCTGCTTAAATTAGGTTAACGAAAGCGCTAATATTTTTAAGGGTGCTGATGCAGAAGCATTGAAGACCGATTAACTATTATTCTTCCATTGCTTTCACAGCTTTTATTCCTTCTGCAGCTTTGGATAAACTTGTGTATAAAATAGTGTTTCACCTAGGAAATTGGTGGTGGTGTAGGGGCTACTTGTTTTATAAAAACATCAATTTACATGACTCGTCTTCAGTTATAGTAATAAATTTACATTATGTGAATATCTAATTGCCTAACTACATCCTAAGGACTCCTCATGATAATTAACAATAATAATTTATCATAGTAAATTATTATTGATAATAAGTGATTAGAACTGTGCTGCAGATAATCTGAGTCCAGAGTTCAGGGTTCTCATTTTGAAACCTTCTGGAGCTCTTCTGTGTGACTCTAGGTGTGACAGACTGTGGATGGTTGATTGTCTCTTTGTCTCTGTCCCTGATGGAGACTGGAGACCTGTCCAGGTGTCCCTGATGGAGACTGGAGACCTGTCCAGGTGTCCCTGATGGAGACTGGAGACCTGTCCAGGTGTCCCTGGTGAACTGGAGACCTGTCCAGGTGTCTCTGGTGAACTGGAGACCTGTCCAGGTGTCCCTGGTGAACTGGAGACCTGTCCAGGTGTCGCCTGCCTTCACCCAAAGGCAGCTGAGACGGGTTCCAGCCCCACTCTGATCATGATTAGGAACGAGGACGACAGGAGGAGGATAAAACATGATTTATTTTATGTTAATCTGAGTCAGTTTAGTGTTGTTTGTAAATATATTTGACAGTTTTGTAGAAATGAAGATGTTTGAAATGTTTATTCACAATAAACCTGCTTCTTATGACTTCTGTAACATGTTATGAATAAAATATTACAGTAAAAAACTCAAATCATGTACTTTCTAATAATCATTAGAACTCTAGAAGAACTTTAACTCTTGTAAATATAAAAGACAACAGTTAGAAAATGCAACTATCAAAAAACTTCCTCCTGAAAATTATTTATTTACCACATTTTAAAGACTGATTATAATCTGGGCTAATCTGGGTTAATGCTCCTGAACGGGACTGTCTGACCTGCGGTGTGGTGAGTGACAGAGGAGAGGCGCTCAGCCCACGACCTGTGGACTAACACAGCAGCTCATTCTATCTGGATTTATGGTGTTTTGGGTTCACAAACTACTTGTTACTTTTTTAAAAGTTGAGGACATTACATTAGATCGTAGCTGCGCTGCTGATCAACACTGTTTATTAGAACATGAACAGACTCATGGGAACCTGGTCACACAGGGTCTGTGTTGGTGGTTCTTGCTGTAATATTTAAAGTAATTATCGATAAGGTAACCATGCTGTGGCTAAACCTGTCGCATTTTCTTTTAAAGAAAGAAAAAGTAGCTTACAAAGCTGTCGCATCGGTGCTACATGATTATAGAGGCAGAGTTTTCATTGTGTGTGTGTGTGTGTGTGTGTGTGTGTGTGTGTGTGTGTGTGTGTG